GCCTCCCAAAGCGCTGGGATTACAGGCATGAGCCACCGCACCCGGCCTGCAGACTAACTTATTTACACTCTGATGTTGCTAGCATGCCCTCACCTAGAAGAAAATGGCCCTTTCCAAAGGTGGCCCTTTTCACCTCTGCTTCTGGGCCTCTCTAGAGAGGCCTCACGTGTTTCTCTCTGAAACCCCGAGACTAAGGCAGGGCCTGCATTGCCCCATAAAACCTGACCTCAAGTACCTCTGAATGCAGATAATGGGTGTGATTGCTGGTAGAGCCAATCCAGCAAGAGACCCATGAGCCAAGATCACCTCTGCCTGGGGTCCTGTCCTGCTTCCTGGGAGGTTCTAGAAAGAGTCAGAGCCTTGCTGGGAGGGGGAAACATGCATCTTATTCATTTATACTTTTCAGAAACAGGGTACTACTCTGTTGCTCAGGCCTAGTGCAGCAGTAGTCATAGCTCACTGCAGCCTCAACCTCCTGGGTTCAAGCGATCCCCCCACCTCAGCCTCCTGAGCAGCTGGCACTAGAGGTGCACACCACCACAGCTGACTGATTTTTCTTTCTTTCTTTCTTTTTTTTTTAACTTTTTCTTTTTTTGCTTTTTTTCTTTTTTTTAAGATGGGGTTTCACCATGTTGGTCAGGCTGGTCTTGAACTCTTGACCTCAGGTGATCCGCCCACCTTGGCCTCCAAAGTGCTTGGATTACAGGCGTGAGCCACCACGCCCGGCCTGACTTTTTTTTTTTTTCTTAGAAATGGGATCTCACTGTATTGCCCAGGCTGGTCTCAAATTCCCAGCCTCATGCAATCCTCCCACCTCAGCCTCCCAAAGGGCTGGAACTGCAGGTGTGAGCCATTGTACCCGGCCACATGCATCCCAGAAAACCAAAGCATCTTTAATCCAGAATGACTGGGGCGTGGGAAGCTCTGAGGAAGCAACTCAGCCGGGCATGGTGCCTCACGCCTGTAATCTCAGCACTTTGGGAGGCCGAGGCAGGCGGATCACTGGAGGCCAGGAGTTCAAGACCACCCTGGCCAACATGGCGAAACCCCATCTCTACTAAAAATACAAAAAGTACCCAGGCGTGGTGGCACACTCCTGTAATCCCAGCTACTCGGGAGGCTGAGACAGGAGAATCACTTGAACCCGGGAGGCAGAGATTCCGGTGAGCCGAGATTGGGCGACCACACTCCAGCCTGGGTGACAGAGCGGGACTATGTCTCAAAAAAGAAAAAAAAAAAGGCAACTCAAAGAAAAACGACCTGTAGTACTGGTTAATTAACACTTATGGGTGCTTACTATGTGCCAGGGCCTATCCAAAATCCTTTAGAAATGTGATCCCTTTCATTTCTCATATCAGCAGTATGAGAGAAGAGGTGCTTATCAGCCTCATTTTACAGATGAGGAGACTGAGACTCAGAAAAGTCAAATAACTTCTAATGCCACCCAGGCAGTCTAGCTTCAGAAACCATGGTTTTCGTCAGTGTTTGCAAACCTTTCTGTTCTCACAGCAAGAAACACATTCTACGTCAGTTCCCAGCGTACACATACATATCTGCATATAATTGAAACTGAGTCGAAACCCAATCATGCTCGGCATGGCCAACACACTCACCTGTTTTCTGTCCTATCCCGTCCCATTAAACAGCTGCATTCCTCAAGCAGTATGTACAGAACACTGAATACGTGTGAGGCACTGTTGCGGCCTTGGGGGCTACGGCCAATGAAAGAGGGAAAAATCCCTGCCCGCCTGGAGCTTGCATTTCACTGGAGTGAGGCGGTGAGTTAAGATCCACGTGAAAATTGTAGCACCTAAGGTTGTAATTTGGGGAATGCTGCAGAGAAAAACGCAGCAGCAAAGGGCAAGGGTGGTGGCGGGAGACCTCCCGGCTGCTTTAGTTGCCGACCACACTCATTTCAGTGAGTGTCACCGCAGCGTGAAAACCCTGCCCTTGATTGCTACACTCTAGTGCCTCCCTGTATGCTTGAAGGCTCTTTCTCCCAGCTTGTGTGCATGTGCACACATGTATGTGGCAGTGTGCACACACATATGTGTGCAGGTGTGCGTATCTGTGTGCGTGCATGTATGTGGCAGCGTGCACATGTATACATAAGTATGCAGGCGTGTGTGTGCATGTATGTGGCAGTGTGCACACATATGTGTGCAGGTGTGCGTATGTGTGTGCATGCATGTATGTGGCAGTGTGCACATGTATATATGTGTGCAGGTGTGCATATATGTGCGCATGCATGTACGTGGCAGTGTGCACATGTATATATGTTTGCAGGTGTGTGCGTGTGCGTGCATGTATGTGGCAGTGTGCACATGTATATATGTGTGCAGGTGTGCGTATGTGTGTGCATGCATGTATGTGGCAGTGTGCACATGTATAAATGTGTGCAGGTGTGTGTGTGCATGCATGTGGCAGTGTGCACATGTATAAATGTGTGCAGGTGTGTGTGTGCATGTATGTGGCAGTGTGCACATGTATATGTATGTGTGCAGGTGTGTGTGCATGTATGTGGCAGTGTGCACATGTATATGTGTGTGTGCAGCTGTGTGTGCCTGCATGTATGCATGTGACAGTGTGCACATGTATATGTATGTGTGCAGGCAAGTGAGCATGTGTGTGTGTGTGTGCATGTAACCATGTGTGAGCCCACCCCCACTCTCTTCACTGAAGAGGCTTTGGAGATGGGACGCAGAACCCACACATGTGGCTGTGCAGTTTCTCTACAGGAGCTTGCCCTATAGAGGGGCTGGAACGGTGCCTGAAATACAGCCCAGGCCTCACTGGCCAAAGCCACGAGTGCCAGACATGTGCCCTGGCATGAGTCTTTAGTCCAGAGGAATGAGACTCTTATCATTGGTCCACCCGGAGGGGAGCACGCTTTGCAATTCCCAGGGGCAGCGCCGATTCCTAACTGGCATCAAGGCGCCCTATGTGCTCCAGTGTCCTATGGGAGACAAGACGCCTCACAGAAATAAACATCACCCCCTGGGGAAACTCCAGTGCGCCGAGCTCACTGGGCAGGGTGACGGATGTGGGTCTAGGGGGATGGGATTGGAGCCAGCTCTGAAGCACCGGGGGCCTCAGGGAGCCTCCATTGAGGGCATTTGGAACTTGGCACTAGAGTGAAAGCTTCAGGCTCTTCCCTTACGTTAAAGAGACATATAAAAATGTTACTAGCACAGGCGGCAAAAGGATGACCTATTGGAAATGCAGCCAATCTTTGCTAATGAATTAGTGTAATTGATCAAAACAGATGACCTGATGGGCCTTCCAAATGCGCTTTTAGCAAACTGGACGGTTTTTCATTCAAATGCAAACTCGCCCAGAGAAAATCAAATAATGGAGATTTTGGAACAATCCCAGCATCAGTGATTTTTTTCTCCTCCTTCACTGAGCAGGAAGACATCTAAAATTCCTGCAGCTTGACCCAACCAGACGCCACCAGTGTCCTGCCTTCTGCGTGGCTGAGGAGACTCTGACCGTTCCCAGATGCAGCAAGGGGCAGTCACGCCACCCCACATCCCGCCTGAGTTTCCTCCTCGGCCCCATTCCCACTCCCTGACCTACGAAGAGCCGCCGGGCGCTCAGTTCCCTGCCATCACGCATTCATTCAGGCATTGTTCGCTGAGCTTTCGCTGTTTCAAGGCCCTGTGGGTGCGACCAGAAGGGGGTTCAAAGACGACCGAGACCAGGCCCTGTCCTCAGAAGAGGGCAGATGTGGCAGGAGGCCCCGGGAAGGCCTCAGCTCACCCCAGCCAGCACGTCATCCTCCTGAGCTTCAGTTTCCTCTTTTATCAAATGCGGGCACTAGACATGATCTCCCGGCGCCGGGCGAGCTGGAAACTAGACGGTTCTAAGCCTTCCCCTTCCTCTCACGCTCCCAGGCTCCTAGAAAGCCGACAGGCCGCGTGGGCTCCTAAGACAACGCGTCCGCCAAGGGGGGCTGGCGAGGGTCAGGGAGCTTCCCTGTGCGGAGCTGTGAAGCTTCCCACGCACAGAGCAGCCTGGAGAAGATGAGGCACAGGTTCAGAAACCCGAGGGGGAAGAGTTCAGCTTCTACAAGCGGGAAACCAGAGCTCAGAAAGAGTCAGGAGTGTCTGGAAGTCGGAAGCCGCTGGCGCGGGTGGGGAGAAGGATCCACATTCAGGGCGGCTGGGAGGGATCTGGACCGCGGGGCGCGGCGGGCTGCAGGGACTGGGGTGTCCGGACCAGGGGGAGGGCTGCAGGGACGGGGGTGTCTGGACTGGGGGACGGGCTGCAGGGTGTCCGGACCCGGGGGCGGGGCGGGCTGCAGGGACGGGGCGAGTGTTGTAGCGCCCAGAGCCAAAGGGCCGAGGCCTGGGCGAAGGTTCCTCCCACGGGCTGGTCCCACGCCCCATTTCATTATTGGTGCCGCTGCCGCGAGGCTAATTTCCACAGAGTCACCCGCGCTGAGCATCGCTGCGCACTTTTTTTCTAAGTTCCACAAGTGGCTTTGGGGTAAACAGGCGCATCTCATCCGCCTTCCCGCCCGTCCCAGCCCCGACCTTGAGGTTAAACAGGGCCACGAAGTCTGCCAGGGAGGGGCGTCAGCGGCCCAGGGGGTGGGGTGGGGGGCGCGGCGGGTCTAGAGAGGGGCGCGCGGGGTCTGGGGGGTCTGGCGGGGCACCCACCTGCGGAGAAGCGGTCCTCGCGGTCGGAGCTGTGGTGGCTGCCGTCGCTGTCCCTCTCCGGCGAGCTGTGGGCGGGCGAGTCCCGCTCGGGCGCCCGCAGGAACCTGCGGCGTCTCCACGGGGGCAGGTGGTCGCGGGCCCCGCGCCTGGGGGGCTCCTCCGCCTCGGCCTCCAGCTGCTCTAGGTCGGGGCTCCCGCGCGGGGGTCTCGGCGCCCGTGGGATCAGGGGCGTCCCGCGGTGGGGGCTGCTCTCGCGCCCCGGCCTCTCCTCCGCCTCGTCCCCCCGCATCCGGAACCGGCAAGGGGCAGTCAGCCAGGGGCCGAGCGCGAACTCCTCGTTCGGATCCAGCGTCTCCGAGTCGCCACCGGCGCCCGCCTTGTCCTCCCGGGCGCGGAACCGCAGCGGTGGCTGCAGCAGCTGCTGGTGGACTGCGGCGGCCCAGCTCCTTCCCGCGCGGGGGACTGCGGCCTCAGGGTCCCGGGGGTCTCCGGCCGCCGCGGGCCCCTCCGCGGCCAGCAGCGCGCGCAGGTGCGAGGCCTTGAAGCGCTCCTGGGCCAGCACCTGTTGCAGCCGCGCCAGGTTGAGGCTGCAGCGCTCCAGCTCCCGCTCCACGTCCCGCGCCGTCTCCAGCCGCAGCGCCGGCGCCTCCGCCCCGGGGAACTGGGCCCGCCACAGCCGCTCGAACGCGCGCGGGTCCCACATGCTCCGCCCGCGGCCCCAGCCCGAGACCCGGGAGAAACCGAGTTCCTTCCGCTCTCCCGCCCGTTCCCTTCTTCGTCTGCTGCGGCCGCTTCTGGGTTTCGCCTCCCTGACGTCAGCGGCTCCCCGCGGCGGGGGCGGGCGCCTGGGGGACCAAGACCCGCCCCGGGCATCCCCCGCCAGCTCCAGCCTCGGGGCCGCGACGGGGAGCGGGGGACGGGTAGGGCGGAGCTGTGGGGCCGCCTCGAGTCACGCCTTCACCCCTCCCCCACGCCTGGCGCTGCCCGCCCCGCCCCATGTCCACCACGACCCATGTCCACCCCGGCCCATGTCCACCCCGGGCCCATGTCCACCTGCGACCATGTCCACCCCCCGACCATGTCCATCCGCGACCATGTCCACCCCAGCCCATGTCCACCCCGACCCATGTCCACCCCGGGCCCATGTCCACCCCCGACCCATGTCCACCCCGGCCCATGTCCACCCCGGGCCTATGTCCACCCCGACCCACGTCCACCTCGGCCTATGTCCACCCCCGACCCATGTCCACCCCGGGCCCATGTCCACCCGCGACCATGTCCACCCCGGGCCCATGTCCACCCCTGACCCATGTCCACCCCGGCCCTGTGTCCATCCCGGGCCATGTCCACCCCGACCCTGTGTCCACCCCGGGCCCGTGTCCACCCCGGGCCTGTGTCCCCTCCACCCGTGTCCACCCAGGACCCCCTGCCCGCCCTGCTGCCCTCCAACCCCGACCCCTGACCACCCAAACCTGTGTCCACCCAGGACCTCTGGCCACCCCATCCCTGCACCCGAGCATGGCATCGCCTGCTGGGTGGGAGGAAGACGTGGGGACTGAAGGCGGCGTGGCTCGTCGCCCTGCGCGGGATTGATGATTGATTTTGTCCTTTGAGGCAAGGCCTTGCTCTATGGTCCAGGCTGGAGCACAGTGTCGGATCTTGCCTTGAACTAACTTGACTACTCTCTGAACAGTTTAATCCGAATCCGGGGAAAACGCTTTGGAGTTTGTGTTTTGTTTTTGTTGGCCCCAGTCAGCCTTCTCTCCTCTTCTCACTAAAGCTTTTCCAGGGGAAAAACAGTCAAAGGTGACAGCTCCAAGCAGCTGTGCTGGAGGCGCCGGGGCCTCGAAGCTGTACTCCCGGGTCCAGCAGTGACCGAGTCCCATGGGGCTGCAGGGGCCTCGGCCTGGTGGGGCCCCAAGGGGGTGTGTGTCTATGAGGACCCTCCACTCCCCCTCCTCTTTTCAGCCTGCACCTTCCCCTGGGGAGGACCAAAAAGAGGAGCTGGAGAGGGGCCCTGGGGATGGGTGGGGACGCCCACGTGGCCCTCCCTCCGCACCTGGCTGAACAACACTTCCCAGTTCTTTTCCAGGGTTGAGGTGAGGTCCCACTGCCTGCGGAGAGAGGCCTGATAATCATTTCATGCTTTCGGAAAGAGGGGACACCTTATCAATGATTCATGTTTCCTTCATTTTAAGGATGAGGAAATTGGTCTAAGAGGCGAAGTGACTTGGCAGCTGGAAGTTCCTCCGCCCCACAGCGCCCTTTGGGGACTGGAGCTCAACTCAGCCACCTTCTCCGCAGCCCCTGCCAACCACCCACCCACCTCTCACCTGACCATCGGAGAGGCCGTCCTGCTCCCACTTTCCACCCCCTTCAGTCCATCCCTCAAGGCCACAAGGAAGACGTGCCTTACCCACAAATATGCCACGTGTTTGCTCCAAGCCCTTTTCTGGCTCCCCGTCAGCTACAGGGTGGAGTCCAGACTGCTGGCATGACACAGGAGGCCCTCCCACACTCGGCTCTGCCCCCCTCGCCTTCTTCCTATAATTCAGCCTTACCAGCTCAAAGCTGGCCCCGAAGACCTCACACTCTTTTTTTCTTCATTGGAACTTCTAATCTCTCCCTATGCACTTGCAAAAGTCCCCGCTGCCTGGGGCTCTCCCCTCTGACGGCCATTTCAGCCCCTCCTCTGCCTTGTTTGTCTCAGCACTGGATCTCGTGATCCTTTATCTTTGTTGGCCCTTGTTCCACTTTTTTGGTTTTTTTTCCTGTAGAGAGGCACCAGCTTCTCCACCTCATCCCGGTCCTGAACCGGCAGGGAGCCATGAACAAGTGCATTGAGTTTCTCCTGCAAATCCACCACCTTGGCCCGGCCAGGCTCGGTGGCTCACGCCTGTCATCCCAGCACTTTGGGAGGATGAGGCGGGTGGACCACCTGAGGTCAGGAGTTCAAGACCAGCCTGGCCAACATGATGAAACCCCATCTCTACTAAAACTACAAAAATTAGCCAGGCGTGGTGGCGGGCGCCTGTAATCCCAGCTGCTCTCGGGGGAGGCTGAGCCAGAAGAATCACTGGAACCCAAGAGGCCAAGATTGCAATGAGCTGAGATGGCACCACTGCACTCCAACCTGGCTGACAGAGTGAGACCCCGTCTCAAAAAATACAAAAAACAAACCCACTATCTCAAAGTTGTGTTCACTGCTGTTGCCCCCATCATCTCATGTGGTCCAGGCTCATCTTGAACTCCTGGGCTCAAGTAATCCACTCACCTCTGCCTCCCAAAATACTGGGATGAGCCACTGGAGCAGGAACCACTGGAGCAGGAGCCACTGGAGCAGGAGCTACTGGAGGGTGAACCACTGGAGCATGAGCCACTGGGGCTGTTCCACCTGCAGGGCAGTGGCACAATCACGCTCACTGCAGCCTTGACCTCCTGGGCTCAAGCCATCCTCCCTCCTCAGCCTGCGGAGTAGCTGGAACCACAGGCATGTGCCACCATGCCTGGCCAATGTTTGTATTTTTTGTAGAGATGGGGGATCTCACTGTGTTGCCCAGGCTGGCGTGGAACTCCTGAACTCCAGCAGTCATCCTGCCCTGGCCTCTCACTGTGCTGGGATTGCAGGCGTGAGCCACCACATCAGACCCCGCTGCATTAGAGTTCCTAGTGAAACTGTGTCTCCCCTACCCTAAGAGCCCCTCAAGGGCAGAGACTGTGTCTTTTTTCATTTTTGTGTTCCTGGTCCTTCTTGCAGAGCATGATATGGAGCTAACTGAAAATTGTGGAAGGAAAGAAGTGGATACATGAATAAGGAGCAGGCCGATGAACATCCCCCACCGGCTGGGCTTCTCCTGTCCCAAATCACTGCTGAGGGGCACACGTGCTTCTCACACGTCAACTTTAAGAAAGAATTTCCTTTCTTGCCAAAGTCTATGTTGACTCATTTTACTAATATCCCTCTTCCTTGTTTTCTTTGTTTTAAATTTGTTGTGTGCTGGCATGAGTCATCAGTGTTTGTCTTCATACCAGACTGCTACAGAGGAATGGATTTTTTTTTTTTTTTTTTTTTTAGACAGAGTCTCACTTTGTCGCCCAGGCTGGAGTGCAATGGCACGATCTCAGCTCACTGCAACCTCCACCTGCCGGGATCAAGTGATTCTCCTGCCTCAGCCTCCCAAGTAGCTGGGACTACAGACATGTGCCACTGCCCGACTAATTTTTTTTTTTTTTTTTTTGGGAAAGATGGGGTTTCACCTTTTAGCCAGGATGGTCTCCATCTCTTGACCTCGTGATCCACCTGCCTCAGCCTACCAAAGTGCTGGAATTACAGGCATGAACTACCATGCCCAGCGAGATTTTTTTTTTTTTTTTTTTGAGATGGAGTCTCACTCTGTCTTGCAGGCTGGAGGGCAGTGGCGCAACTCGGCTCACTGCATCCTCCGCCTCCCGGGTTCAAGTGAGTGCCTCAATCTCCTGAGTAGCTGGGATTACAGGTGCCCACCATCATGCCCAGCAAATTTTTATAATTTTAGTAGAGACAGGATTTCGTCACGTTGGCCAGGCTCGTCTCGAACTCCTGACCTCTGGTGATCTGCTTGCCTTGGCCTTCTAGCATGCTGGGATTACAGGCGTGAGCCACCGCACTCCACTGATATGTTTGAAATAACACTAATTTAGTATTCCCCAGTTTGAGTGATTTCTCAGTTCTTCACCCAGTCTCTCAACCTGCTTTCTCCCACCTTAGCTCCAAACCCCAGGCGTCACCACAATCTCCTTCGTCCACTGAGAAGGCTAAGAAGCTTCCACTGCCTGTCACCAGCCAGTGCATGGAGACTCCATCAAACAGAGTCCGCAGACATCTTGGCCTCTGTAAAGATTTCAGATTGAGAGAGGAAGTGCCACCCAGAGTGATGGATGACCCCAGGCAACGGGTCATTCCAATATCGATTGGAAGCAGTTTCCATGTTTTTATTTAAATGCACCTAGAAAAGGAAAACGCTAGGTTTCCATAAGCATCAATTTCTGAATGTGTAAGTTCCCCTGGAGGACAGTTACAGCTCTGTCCTTTCATTAAAGCTGTGGTATGATTCTCTTCTGGCCCAAGGAAATTGTTACCAACACCACTGATTTTGTCCACAAGGACCGCTATAGCTGGAAACACCAGCATCCATCTTCTGTAAACAGATCCCAGGAGAGGGCTTCAAGGGCAGCAGCTGGCAGATGGTTCAGCTTTGTGGCTTGGCTGGGGGTCATCATGGGGACAGGGGTAGGGTGGCTGACATTTATTGTGTCCACACCTCTAGTGGACATACATTTATTATCTACCTAATCCCTCACAGCAACCCTGTGAAGAAGTCACACAGCTAGTCTGCTGGATTTTTTTTTAAGAGACAAGGTAGGCCGGGCGGGCACAGTGGCTCACACCTGTCATCCAGGCACTTTGGGGTGCTGAGGTGGGTGTGGGTCATCTGAGGTCAGGAGTTCGAGACCAGCCTGCAGCCTGGCCAACATGGTAAAACCCCGTCTCTACTAAAAACACAAAAATTAGCCAGGCATGGTGACAGGTGCCTGTAGTCCCAGCTACTCAGGAGGCTGAGGCAGGAGAATTACTTGAACCCAGAAAGCAGAGGTTGCCGTGAGCAGAGATGACACCACGGCACTCCAGGCTGGGTGACAGACCGAGGCTTCATCTCAAAAAATAAAATGAGAAGAGAGACAGGGTCTCACTCTGTCATCCCAGCTCACTGCAGCCTCGACCTCAGGCACTGATGCCATCCTCCCACCTCAGTCTCCCAAGTAGCTAAGGACTACAAGTGCATGCCACCACACCTGGCTCATTTTTTTTTTTTTTTTCGGTAGAGACAGGGTCTCC